GGGCCGCTGACTCGCGAATAGGGGAGAATAATACCGCCGGCGGGGGCGGGCGCCCGAGTGTCGCGAGAGCGCATGCCCCGCCCGTGCCGGTGGCATCCCTCGCTCTTGGCCGAGCGTGGCCTCGGGGGAATTATTGCGGCCCGGCCGGCCCATGTGTCGTCTGCGTGGGATGCATGCCTGTGTTCGTTCGGCCGGGAGATGAGAGGCGGCGCCTCGGGGGCGGGAGCCTGGGGGAAAAAACAACAACAGGAGAGGTGGACCCGGCCGCGAGGCGTGAAAGCCCTGCCGCCTCTCCGGCGCAAGGGCGCGTGTTGGGGCACATATATGTGCGTGCGCACGCGTGGCGATCCCCGGCTCCAAGCCCCGCGGCTGGGCCTTCCAATGACTGGAGATTAGATCCGCGATTCGACCCGGACGTGACGACACGCTGGGGCGGCCCAGGTCCGGGCGGCGGCGGGCCGAGCTGACAAGGCGGCGGTATATCGGCGGCATACAGCCGGGGGGGGGGGGAGGTCCTACCTCCCTGCCCGAGGCACCGGGCACGCGCGCCCACGGGCGTCGAGTGTGCTGCGCTGGGGGGGGGGGGCGTGCCGGCGCCGCATCCGCGGGCAGCCCCGTCCCTCCCCAGGGGGCGCGGAGGGCGGGGGGGGGCCTCGACGCCTCTCTTTTGCCGTCCCCGTAGCCGGGAGGCGGGATGGGCCTGCACTTGCGCGGCGGACAGAACTGGTGCGGGCCGAGAGACTGGGCCTTTCTCACGCGCGCGGTGGGCCGTTTTTGTGGTTTTTTTTTTTTGTTGGGGGTTGTTCTGGCTTCTTCTTTTTCACGCACGCGGATTTCCGTGCCCCCCCCCCCCCCCCCGCCCCTGCCCCGTGTGGGGGTGGCGTCCTGCTGGTCGGACGCTATTTTGCCGTTGGCTGCCCCTCGCCCGGGTGGGCCGGCACGGGGGGGGGAGGGGGGGGGGAACGGCAGTGGCACGAGGAAAAGCCGGAGGTCGGCCCGGCTCTGGCGTCGTCCTGTGTTTCGGGCCCGCGCGGGCCTGGAACCGGGGAGACAACACCTTGGCCGCTCTCGAGGGTCCGAACCACTCTGGGGCGAGGGCCAGGACAAACAGGCCGCCGCGGCCCGGTCCCGGCCCCAGGGGACCTGCCGAGGAGGGGCCCGAGGCCACCCCCCCCCCCCCCGTCCTCAAGCCCAGGCTGCGGATGGGGAACGTGCGACGCTCTTCCATTGAGTGGGTCCCGGTGCGTGCGGCGGGGGCGATGCTTGGGGGGTGGGGCCTCTCGCGGGCCCTCGGCCTGTCTGTGGGAGGGCGGCGTGCGCGCGTGCGTGTGCGCGTGCGTGTGTTTGCGTCAGCCCCCCGAAGAGGCGGCCCGCCAGCCGGTCGCGCCCTCCTCGTCCGGGTTTCATAACCGAGTGAGCCCCGGGTTTGAGAAACGGTCGCGATCACTGATCTCGTCCTTCCTCCCCCTACTACCGCCGCACCACCGCCCCCTTTCCCCCTCTCCCCCTCCCCGCCTCCGTTGCCCCGCCGCCTCCCCCCTCCCGAGCCCGCCGCGCACCGCTCCCCCTCGTCATGGCGTCCACCTACGGCGGCGTCGACGACGACCAGGCCGGCCTGATCCAGCACACGGATACTGAGGCTGGCTTCCCC